TACATGCAGATCTATAAGGGGAACTTGCTCTCCTAAAATTATATGCAAAATTATGTGTTCTTGGATTTTACTTGGATAAGGATCCAAAATGTCCCTTAGAATCTAAAAGTGGGTATAAGACCTACAAAAAGATTTTTTTTTAAGTTCCACTGCTGATGGGCTAGAGTATCAGATTGAGCCTGCAGGAGAGGAAGACAAGTTCTTACATAAAGGAAAGGATGTGAGAATAAGGGTGACAGTTAACAATAATCAAACACTTACTATGTATAAGGTACTGTTCTATTGCCTAACTTAGATTAACTCACTTAATTTTCATAACAATCTTATGAAATAGTACTTTTTTAGTCCCATTTTATAGATGAAGAAACAAAGGGTAGACTTTCTCAAAGGCAATACTTGCCAACTTTCTTCACATCATGCCACATACTAACAATAGATATTTATTACATAGAATAATTACTGGAATTGATAGTTTAGTAAGTTTATAACTCTATACCTTAGATACATAATTATAAATCCATACTTTAGTAATAAGTATTTAGAAAACATAATTAGAGGAGATGTCAATTAAAATGACTATAAATAATAAGGCATCGTGGGATAAATCTAACAAAACATACTCAGTATCTTTATGGAGAAACCAAAAAACTTTATAGATCCCGTGGGATAAAGGAACAAGGATACTAATGACAAGAGGCAATTCAAAGAGGGGTTCCTGTAGCCCCAGATCCATGTCTCAACTCCATCTGTCTTGACGTCTTCAGGTCTGAGAGTTTACAATCTCTGAAGTTCATTCAGAAATGATTAGTTTGCTTACATGGCACACCAGATAGAGAGCTCTGCTATTACCATAGGAGAAATTTAGTTAATGGTTATAATTATCTGCACAAAGAAAACACTAGACTTGCCTACTTCTAAAGTTAAGACAGCCAGTCAAGAGACATTTCCAAGCATACATGAAATCTTGCAGAACAGGAAAAAAAAAAAAGGAATAGTGTCCCACTCACAATCTGAGGCTAATGCAACATTGATGCTAAAACCAGTCAAAAACTGGAAGAAGAAACTTTCAGACCCATATAAGACTACAAACAAAATATAATTGCAAGTCTACATTTTAGCAGTAAACACAGAAAACAAATTAAAACAAAGATACTAATTATAATGGCAACAAAAAAATAAAAGGTACCTTAGAGTAGACCTAACAAAAGATGTGGAGGTCCTTGCACATCCTAAAACCTCACAGAATCCTAATATTTTATTCAGCAAAGAAAATTAAAGAAAATTTAAGTACTCGATAAAATTTTAAAATAAAATTATTTCAAAGTCAAAATGATACAAATAATGTTCCCTTAAAATGAGCTATAGATTTAACGACATTTTATTCAAAGGACTTGACAAATTGGTCCTTGCTAAGTCCCATGAATAGAATGTCATGGAAGAGCAAAGATCCAGGAAGAGCCATGCTAGAGAACAAATGGAAGCAATTAAGCTACTGCCACATGTTAATATTTGTTATAAAGTCCTTAATAATTAAAACATGTTATTAATTCAGAGATATATCAATGGACCAAAGCAGTCCAGAAGACCCATGAACAAATGGATATACTGAGAACTTATCCATGGGGATCCCATATGAAGAGGAGGGGGACAGACTATTTAATAAATATTAATCGATGAGCTATATGAGAGAAAAAGTTAAGTGAACTCTTACATTATATACAAAATCCAATTCTAGATGGAAAAGAGACTTAAAGCAAACTCTTGAAAACTTTAGAAGAATATGTAGACTATCTTTCTAACTTTGAGGTAACAGAATTTCTTAACAGTTAACTGGCAACAGAAATTCAAGTGTATTAATTTTTTTAAATGACTGTTCCTCACCAGATAACAGGAGAGTAAAACAGAAGACAAAAACTCTTTATATATTGGTTCATTCATCTTTACAAGACCCATGAAATATGTACTATTATCCTTCATTTTATCAATGAGGAAATTGAAATGAAGAAAAATTATTTCCCTAGGATCACAAGGATAGGTAATGTGCAGGAAGGGTAGGATTCCATCCCACACTTGCTTGAATTCAAGATGAATTCTTTCAACCAACTAAGTGTATTTTATCAAAAGGGAATATTTGATGAGTAAAAGGGGAAAACTGCATCATTTTATTTTAGAGGGTTAGAGTTCAAACTACCTCACAATTTAAAACTAAAGGAGAGAAAAAGATGCAGGTGATTAAGAGAATAATTACAACCCCATCCAAACTCACAACACAGTGAGAACTGAGCAAGCATGGCACAAACACCATCTGGGTCCTCAGCTCTATGGAAGAAACTCAACTCTCCCTGCCTAATTCAAATAGTTATCAATGTGCACATTCTTGGCAACACTTCAATTTATAAAAAAAAAATTAATCAAATGGCCATATGTGTAATGTATAGAATTATCACTGACAAACATATTTTTAACCCCAAATACAATGCTCTTCTGCTAATCCCAGGTTTTGGCTCCAAGCCAACTGGCTTCTTGCTTTCATTATTTGCAACAGAATCCAGGATTCAGAGCGAATAAAAGAGCCGAACAGGAATATAACTCCCGATAATATTGTCTCTGTGCCTTGTGCACTTATCCTTTTTGTCTCTCCCCAGGGGAAGAGCAGTTATTCTTAAATATGCTAAATCCAGTTGTTCCCCACAGCGGCCATGTAAATCTTGGCACTAAGTACGTGGCAGAATCAAAAGTCAAGGCAGTGGGAGGTGCTCACACCAGAGCAACAGGCAGCCCTAAAGCCCCAAACTGTTCTATCCATTTTCTCCTAAAAATAAAGGGTTCTATTCATCAAAAACTTTTATATATTCTTGTGATTTTTTTTTTTAACAAAAAGCCAACATGATATGCAGGCAAAGAATAACAACTCCTGGTTCACATGCCATGCTGTCCTTCCATTTCCCAGAGTAAGCAAATAATCCAGAGAGAGGACAAGTAGGGGAGGCTCTCTTTACTGCATTCACCAGACAAAAAAAACAGCCTCTGCAAAAAGAGATCTAACCTCAAATTAGATATCTAAATTGTTCTGTTTGAGGAAAGCTGTCTCCTTGCTGCATGCCCATTTAACGAAATGAATTATCCAAAGCCTACCTATGAGAGATGTCATTGCTTTGTTTTAACATGATTTCAAAATATCACAAACTTCTTGCCATTTCTTCCCAGCAAAGGATAATCGATGAGTTAGAATTTACCAACACTTAAAGGTTATTTATACCATATTATACTCTCTCTCCCATTTCTTCTTAATCTTTAAAAATCGCTTCATCTATTATAGAATGTTCCTTCTACACACTAACACAATATTAGCAAAAATTTTTAAAGGGTTAAAAAAGTCACATCCCACCCCACCTAAAATGTCAGCAGGTTTCCACTTTTGAGGCTTTTTTATGTCCTGAATTTGCATGCTTCATTTTACATAATTGTAATCCTAGCCTAGATTGGCTTTTAAAAATCCCTAACATTTTATCATGTCCTGACTTTTTCTCATTATCTCTTCCTTAGTATCTTCCTCAAGGATTGGGAAAGACAATGGAGTATGGTAGAGGGTTATTGGAGTTTTGGTGGTGGGTGTGGTGTGATTAATGCACATCTCTTGAAGTGTGAACCTATACCCCTAAAACATTAACTACTGTAAAAAATTAATTACTAGAAATCAACATTATCTTAATAAACATAATTTTAAAAAGCATGATGCTAAGTAAAAGAAACCAGACACTAAAAGTGTTGCATGATTCCATTTATATGAAATGTCCAGAATAGGCAAATCCATAGGGCCAGAAAGGAGATAAGTGGTTGTCAGGACTTGGGCAGTGACTGCTAGTGGGTATTGGTTTTTTCAGGGTGATGAAAATGTTCTGGAATTAGACAGTAGTGATGACTGAACAATTATGAATGTGATAAAAATAATATTGTAAGTTTAATTTATATATCTTTGAAAGGGTATACAATGAAGCTATCACGTAAAGCAAATAAAAGAGACTGGGGAAGAAGGAAAAATTCCAAACCAGTATTTTAGTTATTTTACTACATATGATTGCTCATACCCCTAGAAAGAGTATATTTATTTTTTTTTTAATAATAAATTTTATTTTTATATTCCCCATACAATTGCAGCCCCCCATTCTGACCCCAATCCCTCTCCTCCCACCCCCGCCCCCCTAAAAGTGTCTCTGGTTCGTAGTTTTTTGTTGATTTTGATTTTCACTTTCTTATAGTTATTCGTTTTCCTGGTCCCTTATTTAAGTTTTCTAGATTCCTGCTATGAGTGAGACCATCCGGTATTTTAGAAAGAGTATATTTAAATAGATGTTAAAGATACTGGTAAAAATGAAGTGGGTAAGTGATCAGTGGATTTCACTTATCTTACATGTAAATGTAAAGTTGAAAATTACATGTAAAATGGAAAAAATTGGCTATGCAGAAAAATCTAGTAATGCAGCTATTTCAAGAATTGGTTGTACTGTGAATTAGATTGTTTCCTATGGACAGAATGATGTCATGCAAGTCTCACGCTGTAACTCATGAGATCTATACCATAAATTACCCTGGGTCCCAAATGGCAGCATTTTAAAGGAAATTTTGGTGTTGTATTGCACAGGTGGCAAGAAGCTTCATCAAGATACTCAAGTGTTAGAGTGGGGTTGGGGCTGGGAGAGAACAGAGAAGGGAGGGGCATAATGGTCTATTGTAAAGGACAACAGGTGCTTGGATAGGGGGTGTGGGGTGATAACCTATATCAGACAAGGTATGAACCCCCCTAAATCATATACAGTACTGCAAACCAATGTAACTTAGTAAAGGAAAAAAATAAAGTGGAAAAAAAGATACTCGAGTATTATAATATAGGTAATGCCATTTATAAAACTGATAAAAGTTTTTCCTCACGTTTTCTTGTGATCTTTACATTCTCTTTCCCTTTCACCCATCAGGTAATTTTCCATGTTCATTGTCTTTAGGAACCAAGTGTATGAAGGCAAGAACAAAGAAACCATTGTTCAGCTTTGAGTTCCAATTCGGATTCTTAAAACTAAAAACAGAAACAAAATGAGTCTTGGGAGTAAGTTTTCTAATGCAGAAGCCAACCAATTGAGAGAGAGGAGACTGGTTACATTCTGTGAAAGGGCTCAGTACCTGAGAGCATGATGTAACAACCCCCAGAGAGTAAGTCTGCACGAACATACCACAGCAGGTTACTGGTCTCTCAAAAGTGAATTTCGAGCAGGAGATGGGAAAGATGATTCTAGGAGAAATCATCCAGAACTTGAGTTTTATTCATCCTGGGCTAAATCATGTGTGGCAGAGTGCAGATTCTTCACTGAAATCTAACATTGGGAGCACTGATGGACAGAAGGGGCTGTGCCTTGTTCCCAGGGCTGTAGCTGGGGAGAATGCAAGCTTTGTAAACAAGTGCTGTCCTGTAGCAGACACTGTTCCTTGGTGGGCTGTAATGACTGGGGGTCCTGGCCAATTCTAGATTTTCTATGACTAGATTAGGGGTCATAATCCTGTGTATCCCTGCACAGTTCAGGGAATATAAGAGTCTCACACTCTCCAAGAAAAAGTGTAGGTGACTACTTAGACCATTGAAAGAGGAAGAAGAATAGCATAGGACCAGCCTCAGAGATGTTGGGGTTGGATCTACACCCAGATGCAGTAGGAAGATCGCCCAGAACCATGTAGGCCACTGGGGAAGGGTGAACATTGCATAGGCTAGAGCTCTCTCCAGATGCCAAGTCTCCAAGTATGCATCCGTTCCTCTCTTCCTGAGAATTATGCCCCTTCAGGAAGAAAGGAAGGAGAGGGGAGAAGGGAGGATTCCAATTTTGATAGCATTTACCCAAAAGAAAGCTGAAACCAAAGATGATAGTAGTTAGAAAAACATCTTTGCTCATTTCAATCCTAGGAATCTAAAATTCTTTTCTTTTTAAAGATTGATTTATTTATGCATACAAGAACTGTGGTGCAGGCCAGAAAGGGGAATGTTGAGAGGATTCACCAGAGACAGAGTGGGGAGCAGAACAGGCAAATCTACTGAAATACACTAAGGGAAGCAGTGGGGGAAAGGAGAGGTCTGCTGCACCATGTGGGTCACCCCCCTTGCCGGGGATTGAACTTGTGCGGTAGTTGGCTGTGGATAGCTTCATAGTGCTACACTTAACTCCTTGTGCCACCAGAGAGGCCCCCAGAATCTAAAATTCTTATCAGTTATGAAAAGATACCTGTGTAGAGAAATCTTGGAAAACTCAGATAACTAAATCTAGAAAAAAAAGAGTGAATAGTTGAATTGTGCCATGGGGGCATCTCACTAGTGATTAGCTACTAATGTTATTCCCTTCTGCTCTTCACGCATTTACTCTCTTCTTTTCCGATTCTTCTAGTGTTTGCAAATCAGTGTACCAGACAAGGAATCACACTGACCCAGTTCATCTACTCACACAAAGTTTCATCATAATCAGGCAACAAGACTCCCTTGAGTCAGTCTCCACCCCCTCCCGGCCCCAATAAACCCACCTAACCTCCCAGCTCCCCGACCCCAGGCACACACATATAAGCAAACACCCACTAAGTTAAGGCAAACTTGGGGAATGACATTCCCAATATCTATAGTTAAAACACGGAAGAATATGATCCATTATACAAGACATTGGGAGCTAGATTTTTCTATTCACGACTACGAGCTTAAAAGAGGGCGTCTGTGTGGATGCTTCATGCAGGGCCTAATACGTAGTGGAGCCCTTGGTGTTGGTTGCTATTACCAACAAAATGAGCTAAGAACAAAACCTTGGCCCATTTTTTTCTAAATCTCTTTGAAACTTTTTTTTTTTACCTTCCTCAGGAATTCTCTAGTCATTTTCTGCAATTATTCTATGCCATGTAACTCCCACCTCTCCAATAAGACCAAAAAGAAATCCTTTAGGGGTTTTTCCTAGTTTTCTTTTGGGCCTTCTGCATACTCTGGAGGAGTGGTAAGCAGTAGAAAGTGCTCAAATTATAGAATACTTTCAGTTACTCATTTATTTTGCTAGGTTTTCATTCAATTGAACTAAGTGTCTATGGTACTGAATTGAAATTTTCTATTAATAAGACAGTAATTATTTGAAATACACAGGAATTTTCCTACTAGACAGACACCTCCAGAGCAGTAAGATTAAGTGTGTTCTCTTTCAAGCATGCCAGCCTCTGCCATTCCTGCCTATCTCTGCTCATGCTGTCGGAAATCACATTTCTATTCTTTCAATACATTGTACAAAATCCCTTCATTAAGAAGCCTTTCTTCAACACCATCCCAAGGCATAAAGGACCAGTTCCTTCTACAGGTGTCTATAAACTTTGTGCCTTCCTTATTATGGGAATTTATTTATTATAAATTCTATGACCATTTCCCCATCAAAATGTAAGCTTGCTCAAGTCAAGAACTAAGCACTATTCATTTTACACTTTCAGCATCTTCCATTGTTCGTTGGGTACCATGATTGTTTCATAATATACACTGAATGTCAAATGGCTACTGGACACCTGCTCACAAGATCTTACAGGAGAACAAGTTTTGGTCACTTGTCAACGGGTAAGAGAAAGAACATAGCAGCATGATATGATACCATTTCTATGCTCCAAACATTCTGAAATGGAAAATAAAAAAATTAAATAACAGCAGAAAATATCAAGTGATTTCAGACCTACTTTATGACTCTAAAAATGATTCCCAGTCATTTTTCAAGTGTTGGAAAACTTCAAACATGTCCAGAACCAGAAAAGTTCTGTGGAAACTCCAACTTGAAGAGTTATCAATATGGCATTTTTTTTTAAAGATTTATTTATTTATTTATTTATACAAGCACTGGGTATAGTCAGAAGCGCGGGAGGGTGAGAGAATTCACCAGAGCCAGAGCAGGGAGCAGAGCAGGCAGAAGGACCGAAGTACACTGCTGAGGGGAGCAGCCGGCGGCAGGAGAGGTCTGCGCGCCATGTGAGACCCTCCTCTGGTGGCCGGGGAGAGGCCTGGGATCGAACCGGTGCTGCAGAGACTGCGGGCAGCTTTGCAACTCAGCACTCAACCACTGCGCCACCAGAGAGGCCCGTTATATGGCATATTTTTATCACTGAAAATTCAAATTTCATTGATGAGATTCACCACCTTTTCCCCAAATATGACCCAATATTCTACATGAGACGATAGTCTTATCTCACAGACTTCAAGCTATGGAGTGAGTTCAAGGCCCCTATTTTGACTCAATGGTTAAAGTATGATAAATATTTTTAAGTTGTTAGGATACTTTCTTTTCAGTATTTTCATCCTATGTTAAACTCTGCAACACTTATATTAATGCATACCCCCTTTACTGGCTTATTGTCTACCTTCCTAACACCTAGCACTTCCTATGTTTAGGAATAAATATGTGTTGAATGAGTAGATAAATGCTACAATATTAGTTTTAATGCTTTATTACAATACAACTCTCATCATGCTATTTTGCTGCCTGCAGATTCCCAGTGGGTCTCAGATATCAAATTGGAAAGACCAAATTCCTTACTGTACTGTTTAGGACTCTTTAGGGTCTTGCTCTCATTTTATTTTTTTTAATACTCTCCTTGTCTGAATGTTGTTGTAGTCATGCTAGTTTTTAAATTTCCCTTAGTATTTCATGCATCTGAAGAATGTTTGGCAAATCTGATACCATTTATAGCCTGATCCACTTTCTCTCCACACTGGATTACTTTATGGTTATATCTAGACATCAGATCATGCCTTCGGTAAATATTTCAAGCTCTCTAAAAGAGATGGGAATTTTTATTAAACATAACCAAAATATCACTTGATCACTAAAACTAACCATACTTTCTTAGAATCATCAGATTTCCTCAATTGCCTCATTAATTTTTTTTTTTTTTGAGAATTTTACCATCAGTATCCAAACAAGGTCCATATTTTACATTTGGTTGATGTTTTTCTTAAGTCTCTTTTAAATTATAGGTTCCCCCTCTCTCCTTTTTTTCACTTATAATTTATCTGTTGAAAGAACTGGGTCATTTGTCCTATAGTTTTCCACACTGTGGATTTGGTGATTGAATCCTCACACTGTGTAAATCATGTTCTTTAGCTCCCCATACTTCCTATAAAGTAGTAGTTAGGTTTTTCAGCCTTATCTGATAGAAATTTCTATGATGATGGAGATATTTTATGTCTCCATACACTGAGTATGACTCAGGGACTGAATTATTTTCTTTTCCTTTAATTGATTTTAAATTTACTTAACCATAATAACTACTTCCTACCAAATTGAATGGCACATAGAGGTTAATTTAAATTTAAATAGACACATGTTCCTAACAGCTTCTGTATTGAATTCAGGTTGCTTGTTTACCAAAAATACTCTATAAAAGGTGATATTCCACTTTTGGAAAATGTCTGGTTATACCTGTAATGCTAGCAAACCTAATGTTTGCAACCCTTTAAAGAATTAATGGATCATATTCTATTTTTATCATTCCTCCTTTATTTATTAGCTTAAATATATCAAGAGACACTTTCTCTCATAAACAATTTGATTGTCCTATGGAATAATTCATGCAGGAAAAGCAGAATAAATGCTGATCCATTCCATTTTTCAGAAAAATTGTTTGGTTTCCTAATATTCTCCGAAGATGATCGATAATTTTTGTTTGTTTTGTTTAATATAATAATAAACTCATTGGTTTTAATGTATTTTATGACTTTGCATTTATTATTTATCTTGAGGCTTGAACCAAGGGAATCATCTTTGAATCAAAGGAAGTTTTTCAAATTGACTTCTCAATCCTTTTGTCACAACCCCCACTACTTTTTCATTGTGTCCTTGCTTTCTAATGTGGCAATTATTCTGAGCTTGGTTCCTTTTGGTGGGAAGCTGTATTTAGATACCACAGTCAGAGTGTAAGAGTAGCTCAGTGATACTGGGTTAATCATTGTTCCTATGTCGAGTCTTTCCAGTAAATAGAATTAGGGAGAATTTTTTAATAGGAAATACATCAAGCATTTATACTTCAAATTCAAATTTGTGGTTACATGGCTTTTCTCAGCCTCTCTGATTTTATATTTATAACCTTTTCATGTTCAAAATCTGAGCTCCAATAAGCTCATATAATTACTTTGTTTCATCCTATCATATACATTAGAGTTTAGAAAAGCTATACCCCTGTTACTACAGACAATATTACTAACTGGAAAAATTTAAGTTTGTTTGTTTTGCTGTTATTTTTGTCTTAGGGTAGATCTCAAATTATTATGTTTTAAAATACTTCGAAACAGTTCTCTGTATGGTGAAGTGACCCGCCCAATCCACAACTAAGTTCATTCATTTCATTTTTAATTTACACAGTTGTTTTATTAAATCATGTAAAGTATGTACATGATTCTGAAGTCAAATCTCTAAATAAATAATTTTAGAGATGTCTGGTCCTAGCATTATTCCCTTCTTTTGTCCTTTCCATCTCTCTGGGAAATTTTTTAAAAATCAAATGGTTTTTCTTCCGCTTAAACTCGTCAATCTGCAACTTAAAAAACAAACACAGGGCCTCCCCTGGTGGCGCAGGAGGTGAGCACTGGGCTGCGAAGATCCCCCGCAGCCTCTGCAGCATCGGTTTGATCCCTGGCCACCAGAGGAGGGTCCCACATGGCGCGCAGACCTCTCCTGCCATGCCCGCTGCTCCCCTCAGCAGTGTACCTCAGTCCTTCTGCCTGTTTTGCTCCCCACTCTGGCTCTGGTGAATTCTCTCACCCTCCCACGCTTCTGACTGTACCCAGTGCTTGTATAAATAAATAAATAAATCTTAAGAAACAAACAAACAAACAAACAAACACATCACGTACCTTGAACTACAAGTATTCTTATTTCAGCAGGGCTTATCCATCCTTTATCTTTTCATTTTATTTCCCCAAAGTGAGGATGATGGCAGTAATGATGCCAGTGACAGTTTGCAGAAGTGTGATTCTGGTTAGCGGTTGAAAATACAAGTTGTTTCATTCTAGTTTTTATGCTTATTAGAATCACAAAGTATATCTGAAACCATTTCCTATTTTCTACTGATAGTTCTTTTGCTCTCTTATAATCAAAATGGTTGCAGCAATGAAATAGCAGCATCAAATCTCACATAGCCCCAGTTGGAAATTCAGGACCATACATTTACTGAATTCTGGAGAAATACATCATTTGGGAAAATAATTTAGTCCATTATCCTGCTAGGTCTGCACCTAATGCATTTTAGGTAACTATTACCATGATCAACACCAAAAAATATACTAGTAATAAAGCTTTGTGTGTGGAACCATGAACACTCACCACAGATCTGCAATTACACAGGGTGTATTTGAAAGAGCCCCAGCAACTGATATGTTCTGCAATCTGCTACACATTAAAAAAAATCTTTATGAGATAGAATTCACATACCGTAAAACTCACCATTTGAAATTATACAATTCACTCTTCTAAAGTACAAACACAAAGTTGTGCAACCATCAGCATTATCTATTTCCATAACATTTTAATCACTCCGAAAGGAAGCACTGTACCCACCAGCATTTGTTCCTCATTCCCCACTTCCTAAGCCATGGCAACCACTAACCTACTTTCTGTCTCTAAGCATATGCCTATTTTTAACATTCCATGTAAATGGGATCATACTACATGTGGCCTTTTGTGTGTGAGTTCTTCTGATTCTGTTTTCTAGTTTTGTCCATGTCACAGTATGTATCAGTATTTCATTCCTCTTTTTCCCTCTTTTTTTCAATGATGATAAAAAACACATAACCTAAACTATACCATTTTAGCCATTTCCAAGTGTACAGTAATGTTATTCAATATATGATAACAGTAATGTTATTCTTTCACATCAGCATTTCCCCTAATAAACTCTTTGGACATCTAATCCTGTCATGGGTCTGCCTTTTGGAGAACCCTGACTAACATACCATGCAATAAAAACTAGCGAACATTAATAAACCAAGTGAGGTTTCTGTGACAAAGAGGGGGATGGGAGAGAGAAATGATCAAGAGGATATAAGGAATGATGGTAGGGAAAAACAAAAAAATAAATGAAGATAAAGAATACAAACAAAACAAAATACTATGTAAAGAAATATAAACCTTGGAAAAATGAATTAGGAAATAAGTTTTTTAAATGATATTTTTAAAAGGTAGGATTTGAACTGCCTAGTTTGTCATAGTGTTTCTACTCAGTGAAAAAAGCAATGATTTTTGAGTCATATAAATCATACTTGGATTTGAATATCAGTTCTGCCACTTTGTAATTTTGTTGTTATTTATCCTTCCTCTGACTCAATTTACTCATCTGCAAAAAATAAACAACAGTGCTGTCTGGGGAGACCATTGTCCTGAAAATTAAATAAAATAAAAGCATCTAGAAAAGCTTGGCACAGAGTGGCAGCTCCTCAAATGTTAGTTTCCTTCCCATATCCCACCAGTTGGTACTTGACCACAGCATCATGCTCAGCTAACTATGCAAAAGTAAGCACTACTTTCATTGTAGGGTGAGTCACACACTCTTCATAGGAGTAAGAAGAGAGGTAAGTGCAGATATTTCTCATACTTGTTACTTAGGATCCTCTTACCTATCCTGGCCCAGCCATTGCCCTCTGAGGTTCCAGGAACC